GTTATTGAAATAAAATTGAACTCACGTTCAAACTAACCAAACTTACACATTTATTGATAATCGATAAAGAGAACCCACTAAACGAAATACTTCTGATTTAAAGACATCAGTAGAATTCGTTGAAAATGTGAATATTGTTATTGGTTTAATTATCATTTCTTATTGAAGAATATGGATTTTATATTTATAAATGATCAATAATTTTTCTAAATCAACAATAACATCCTCATTTTGAGCTTCAGCATTTTTTTTCGTTTTTTCCTCTCGAATAAAATGTTCTTGCCAGTGACAACCATACTGTTTACAATTACCTAAAATGATTCATACAATGATGAGAAAATGAAGAAATTATTTTGCTCGAAATCAATCAATGAACGATTAACAAAAAAATATCAGATGCTTTGTTACGAAAGATATTACTGAATAAGAAAATTCTAAAATTTCATTAAATCTTCAAAGAACTGTAAAAGTTTATCATTTAATAAAATAGAACAATGCTGGTCTATTTTCAATATCAATCGCTAATAATGTACTTATAACTAATGACATAATTCCATATTAAGATAAAGAATAAAACGAATGTATCAAAAAATTGGTTTGTGTGATCGCTTAAACTTTAACACTGGGCAAGAAAATACCGGAAACCAATAGCATTTGGTGTCAGACTCTCTGGGTTTTTTTCAGTGACTTTCGACCAACTCCCTATTCTTTTCAGAGCCCGAAATCATCGATCAAGGTATTATCATTTTTCTCTTCTCGTATAACAGAGCATTTCACATCTCGAAACAGAAGCAAGATTATAGAAACAAACTCTTTACTGATTCTTGTAGTATTATAAAACTTTGAGTGGTGAATAAAATATACAGTCCAATGACATCTCAATAAAATGGAAAACTGTTTGTTCCATTTCCATGATCTTTGAGTATGAAAATCTTTTTCTAAAGGAAAACTCTATATAACTCACCTGATGATTTGTCTATAACATCATAGTCTTTTAGTTGCGATTGACCAATAGTCTCCTGTTCAACTCCTATCATATCCTGGCAATCTGAATGACATTGACTTATATAATCAAGCGTTTGTTCACCATCAGTTATGATTACTCTGATACATTTATCATTTGTGCAGATTATTCGTGGATATTGAAATGGTATGATTTTTGCATCTTTACGTTGTAAAGTTTGCGGTGTTTGCGTATTATTTGATATTAGATTTTTTTAAATGTTATTCAACTAATTGAAGATTTCCTTGAATGAGTGTAACGATTTCATCAATGGGTTTCGAAAGTTGTCGAATTAATTGTTCTGCTTCACTAAGTGAATGCGTATCACGAGTAGTAAATTTATTACATTGAATTATACGAGATATAAGACATCTAAATTTTTGAATAGTATTATTTCAACGGTTACTATAATCTTTTCTTTGTTCAAGACTAAATTGAATTCTATTTTTGTATAATGTCGAAAATTGAAATACTTCAATATTGAATAAAAATGAATTTTCTTTTGAAAATGATACATCAATATTTGCTTGATCTTTAAAATTTTGAAGAAGTCGTACATTAACATGTAAATGTGGGTGTAGGTATGCAATTTTCATTCGACACTTACACCCACACCCACTTAAAGATATTTTCAAAAAGAAAAGAAAATAGTATGACGCGTTCTGTTGTTTCGCACTTGCTTATCACTACACGTATCAACAAGAAAAACTTGTTTCTGCCAGCCAATAGAAAAGAAAAGAAAGACAAGTAATATTTTCATTCAAACTATTATTCCTTCGTACTGAAGCTGCGCATTTCTCGTGATACTTTGTATTTCTTCATGGCATTGTTACTATTCACAAGTCTCCTTTGTTTAACAGTTTTTCTTGGGTATTTATATTTGAAACGATGATTTTCTCCATCATTTGATGATCCACCTGGGATGAAACCTCAAATTTTGGTTGGAAATCTAATTAATTCAGATCTATTGCCAGGAAAACAAACTTTTCCTGAAGTATTGATTGACTATCAACGCCGATATAGTGACAAATTCATGTTTTGGTTCGGTCCACATCGATGTATAGTATTTTGTCGACCTGAACATGCTCAAATTATATTTACAGATCGTCACAATTTTGAACAATCACCTTTAATTATGCCAAATTTTGATTTACTTTGTCCTTATGGAATTTCTTTGCTAACAGGTGCTAAATGGAAACGTCATATTCGAGTTATGTTACCAATGTTCAAGCGTACAAAGATGATAACTCATTTAGACACTATTCTTTAATGTGCCGATCGTTTTATCGATCGAAATCTTCATGATGGTCAAATACATCGAAATCTTGTAAGTTGTTGTCAATCATTGACGATGAATATCATCAGATTTATTGGTTTTGACTATGATTTCGATGTTAAAACAGATTCGCCATTGAAAATAGCATTTGAAGATTTTGTTTCCTATGCAGTGCTTATAATGATGATGTCTTGGCTACCTCGATGGTTGGCTAAAATCTATCTGAAATTCAATTGGAAATATTAACGAGCTCATCGATTTATTCGTCAAGTTACAGAAAAGATTGTTGAAGAAGAACAAAATAAACAATATGAAACAGAAAATCATCGACCAAAGAATCTTATTGCATCGCTGGTCTCATCAGTTAATGAAGATGCCAATGATCAAAATATCTCATCAGGTTTGACACGTGCAGAAATGCTTGATGAAGTATTATTGTCAATAATGGCTGGATATGGTACTACATCGGCAGGTCTATCATGGTTCATCTTTTTTCTCAGTAAAAACCTTCATGTACAACAACGTATGAAAGAAGAATTACGTCAACATAATCTTATGATGACAGACGATGTTGAATATGCGTCACCGTTGACAGAAGAAAAATTGTCTTCACTTATCTATTGTGAATGTGTTTCAAAAGAGGTATGACTTCTTCTAACGAGAGAACATATGCAAATGTGAAATCGCTTTTGAGTTAGGATGATGTGCATCATGCAGATTCGAAGGACCTATGAGTACCCTGAAAAAGTTCGGTTTATTGATTTATTGCTATCGAGATATTGCATTGTGATGGTATTTTTTAATGCAAGGTAGCACTCATCCTACGGATTCGCTCGCCTTTTTCTGAAAGAAGTACACTGAATTCTGACACCGAAAACTGATATAGAATGCGTAGGGCTTTTTACTTCGTTCAAGTACTCTCGGGTAATTGATGGTCCAATCTCCTGACGGTTTACTCTATTAGCTTTTGGCTTTTCTCCCGAAACTAAGAGATTGTTGATACACAGATATCACATGATAAAATTGTAGAAATAAGTGCGCCTTGTGAATTCTGTGCAAATGCCTAAACCAAACTCATTATTTTGCAATTCGACACGGTAAGGTTCGACTGAGCAGAATCGATCAGAACCGAATTGAATCCAATTATGACGAGAATGTCAAACTGAATCGAAGCGCGATTATATTATTTTCTATCGACCTCTAATCCCGTAACAGAGTGAAAATGTCCTTCTTTTCCAGAAAATTCTCATTCTTGTAGAATTTCATCGGCATCAGAACCCTAGGTGTACGCTTTTCACGAGTGTTTTCTGAAGCCCTGTGTCAGTGAACTTTTGTATTACATATCTAGTCGTTCGTCGGCGCCTCGTCGAGGTGCCATTCACGACTAGCCGTCTCCTACGTTATGCTTTCACTAGCAATCAATGGTCCACTACGCTTACGATTTACTTCACTTGGTTTTGACCCTTCTGGAAAGACTGATCGATTTTGGAAGGTTCTACATGGAAAATTCTCAAATCGAAGGTTTGTGTGGTAACTTTTGTGGTTGAAGAACTTTATGACAAAGTTTTTGAAATGTTATAGTAGGATTCAAATTCGTTTTTAAAAATAATACTTATTGAAATTCAAAGAAGGGCGACATTGGAGTGGGGTTTTTATATTGTAACTATTCATAATCAACATTTTCAGAATTTTACATTCAACATCTACGATGAGTATTGCCATTCATGGTCAGTTTCTAGAAAAAAAATTATGTAGATGATGCGATTACTTTGATCAATTTCACTTGATAAGTAATCCTTGATACTATTTCGCTTGATTACAAGCACACTTATAAATAACTGTTACATCGATTTAATTTCTCTGCCTTCGATTATCGTTACTGACGTTTTACCTAACGATATTGGAAAATTATTAATATTCATAGCAAAGGTATTTAAAAACCTGAACTCAGGTTCAAATTCTCCATCCTCGATAATCTTCGAGAACCTTTCTTGGCAAATATGGTGTAATTCTGATACTGGATGGATGCTGTTCCCTGATTGAGCGAGCATATATACAAATACTTAACGTTTGCATGACCCTTTCTTTCAGAAAAGCGAACATACTTTGCTGTGCATCCGCTGCGACCTTCCTCCTGAGCTTCTGTGACGAAAAGGCTTGGCTAATAATTATACAAGTTGTATTCTTCATGCTTAAAATTCCATCAGAAACTCGAAAATCACCTCGATCGGGCCTCGAACGGTTGAATTTATCAAAATCCACATCAGAATCATGTTGCCATACTCAAATATCTCACAAACCATCCTAATCTACAACTCGATCAGAAACTCAAAAATCATCTCGATCGAATCTTGAACCGTTGAATCGATCAAAATTGACATCAGAATCATGTTCTTGATGCTCGAAAACATAGTACATTTCAACGCTGGACCTATACTGCTTTCTGATTGATTGGACAGATAGACACACAAACATTTCAGTGGTGTAGGCTCTTTCTTTTAGAGAAGAGAACAAAGCCGTATTCCCCTCAGAAGCACCAAGAAAATTAATTTTCGAATTTCGACTTGAAACTTTGCACAGTGACAGATCATCACGAGAATAGTTTATTATGAAAGTTTCAGATCATTGTATTTTTTTATCCTAAGATACGACTATGGCAATAGTACGTTTTAAATTTCTTCATATACATCGGCACATCCCGATGTTCTTATTTCAGAATATAAGCAATCAAAAAAAAAAATCTGAAATCTTCACAATAAAGTATTCTCGTTAAGGTCTGTCTCTGTGCAAAGTTTCAAGTTGAAATTCGAAACTAAGCTTTGTTGGTGTTCCTGAGGGGGAGTACGGTTTTGTACTAAAAAAATAACGTAAAAATGCAAGATCTCGGTAGCGATAAGTTAATAGCCCGAACTTTTCTCAAGATATTCATAGCTCATTACGATCTACATGATACACATAGTCCTGACTCAAAAAACGATTTCACACTTGTATATGTTCCGTCGTAAGACTTTCGATTACTTTCATTATTTTTTCTTATCAATATAGGTCTTTCGTTTGGCTCCTACTATCAGTGTAACGACACGCATGGTAACTTCTGATACAATTATTGATAATGTCCCAATTCATTCTGGTCAAATTATTTTCATTGGTTTACTCAATATAAAAACTGATGAACGATATTGGAACAAGAATCCTAAGGAATTTATACCAGAACGATTTTTAATCGAAGATAAAAATTATCATACATATGCGATGGTCCCATTCGATGATGGACATAGAGCATGTCTTGGACAAGATTTAGCATGGATAGTATTGAAATTGATTATTATTCGATGTATGCAACGTGGAATCATATTCGAAGATACTCAAGAGAATACTGGTGGTTATGAAGAAAAACTTGCTTGTCGTCCAAAAATTTTGGCAGTACGTATACGTTTTGATCGGTATTAATATACGAAGCTAATCAAACAGAAGCAGACACCAATTTTGGAATAAGGATATGGGTGTGGGATGGGTATAGGTGTCAGTGAATGACAGAACTACTACCAAAACCAGATTCCACACTCACACCCACACGCTTACCCTCAAGAAATTAAAGATGCATCAATTAAAAGAAATAGTGTACCTCAAATATTTAAAACAGTCGAAAAAGATTTCGTGAGTCTTCAGTGACTATAGCACTTTCTATTTTTCCATTGAATTAATGAGAATTAGTATCTCTTTTTGAACATTAAATAGGAAATGTAAACGTTTTCTTCGATTTATAAAAACTGAAATTCATTGTATGTTATATGTCGATAATTAAAAACACAATAAAGTGATTTGATTAATTGTATAAGTTGGTCCGATAAGTGGAAGGAGTTTCCCAAAACTTAATAATAATGCTTGCAGTCTGTGTTGGTTTATCAGTAGTAATCAGATGACCACAATCGTCGAAAAAGATTAATTTTGCGTCTGGTATCAAGTTGGAAAAATAATTAGCACCATCAACTGAACATAACTAAACAAGAACAATTTTAATTTGATATACACAACATAATAACACATGTATATACCTGATCTTGGCGACCCCAAATAATGAGTACAGAACACGCCAGATTTTTCAATTCTGCATAAGATTGTTCAAGATTAGGATAGTCATTTTCAAAAGCTGATTTAAGAACTACATTTCAACCAAAAAATGATTTTCGATCGTGTAGAAAAATTAATCTGTTACCTTTTTTATGTTGATCTAACATTGATAATCTCGATTTTAAATATATTCTAGCCAATAATCGATTTGCATGAACTTTTTTCATTGATAACAACTTGGCTGCCGCGTAGAACTGTTTAAGTGTTTCTGGTAAAACAATATGATAAACTCCTGAACGCAATTGGCTCAGCAGTTCAGTCTCATACTCTTCTCCAGCTATAATACGTATAAATAAAAATAATATATTTCATAGAATATAATTATATGCACTACTTACGAGGAACAGGTGCAAGTAAACAAATCATACACACATAAGATGGATATTTTGTTGCAAACATTGCCGCAATTGAACCACCCATTGAACAGCCGACCAGATATATTGGTTCAGTCAAATTTAATTTGTCAAAAAACTAATAAACATAAATGCGGATATATGGATAGAATCAATCTAGATTGTACACTACTAGTTTAATTTTATCCACCACATTAACAGCTATTAATTGTTCTTCGTTAAATCCGACACTTTCTCCATGACCGGGTAAATCAATTGCGATACAATGAAAACCATAAGGAATTTCCTATGTATGAAAAAATAATTTCTTTTAATTAAACGAAAACAAATATTAACTGACCTTGATAACACCTAACCATGCATATTTATCAGATGAAAATCCATGAATAAATATAAAACTTGGTTCGTGTGGAACTTTAGAACCTTTTTCATAATAACAAAACGTTGCACCTTCGTTATTATCATCACCAATTAGCAAAAATCGTTTTTTAACACCGGCTCGACGCATATTTAACCTAAAAAATATATGCATGGCATCAAGTTAAATACGATGTTACTTGCTTATAATAGAGTTTTATAAGTCCATCAGGCCTAAATAATATCATCGGATAATAATGTTCACTTACAAAGCATCAAGCATAACTTACATGATTGTGTGTTTATGAGATAATAGAAAGAAAATTCAAGATGATCTTCACACTATTTTTTTTTAACAAACAGAAAAGGATAATGATGCTAAGAAATAATATTCAAATATTTACGTCTATTTTATAAATAGTCAATATATAATACCTCACAAGACTTGTTCTTTTATCTGGTGTTGTAATAAAATAGATTGCTCCATGCGTCATTCATTGGGAAAAACGAAAGGGCGATGAGTGCAGAAAAATGACGTGCTCATGAAAGAATGTAGCTAAAAATAGATTTCCTTTGACATTGTTGACTCATTGTGTATGTTTATTTTATTCTTTTTGGTATCGCGCGCGTAATGTTATTCGTTCTGTTCTCCTCATCATTCTTTTTTTTCCAACCAGTTCTTTTGCTTAATGATAATACCATCGATCTGACGACACATCGATGGTATTCCGCAAATCGTGCTGTTTTATATCACCAAAATTAACAAAAACAATGATATGTAACTTTTTTGTACACTGATAGATATAATAGTCGACTAGTATTGATCCAATCGGACTTATGCGATCTTGAATTCTCGGTACATGAGCATTGCAACGTATCACTGTATTGCTATTCAAATTCTTCGCATTGAGCTTGTGTTAGAATAGAACGGTAAAGTTCTGTTTGAAAAGTACTTGAGCTCCCTCTACGACTTTTGTTTGTTTCATTGATTAATAAAATTCGTGCCTTTTGAAAAAAGGAAGTTTGCTATATTTTCTACTGCATAAAGAGCTAATTTTATTTGTTTGAAAAGAGTAAAAATAATGTTGTGATAAACATAAAGAGAGAGAAATCGACAACATTAAATGAATAAGTTATGTGAAATATTGATATGTTGTCTATATTTGAATAGGTAGTAAGTCTCTTTTCGTATTTCTCGTAATAACTGTTGAATTTGGTTGAACTTGATTATTAATAAATAATTGACATGAAAAAAAAAACATTTTAGCTTCTTGTCTAAATGTTGTTGATGATGCAAAAAAAGGACATACAAATGTTGTGTAAAAAATAAGTAGGAATATATTTAAAAATAAATTTTCAATATTTTTTTTGATTCTGAGATTTAATCACAGTTGTAGTAAGTAAACTATATTCCGTGAATGCAGTATATGATATTATTGTTAAAAGTTGTATTGGAACTTATATAAGCATCATTGATGTTAATTGTTTTTGAACTAATTGATATTGACGACTTATGCGTAATTTATTTGTATTTCTATAAGTCATTATACCGATTATTACCCATATAAAAAAAAAATAAGCAGAAAAATCAACAGATGCATGATTTTAATCGATTTCAGGAGTAATTAATTGATGAAAATCAAGCAATTCTGATGTTTTTTTTATTAAATGAAAGATTAGAATCGTTTTTTCCGCATAATTGATTAGGAATCATTAGTTTTTAGCCGATTATAATCGTTTTCCGCACTGGAACTGATTAAAATCGATGTATAGCGAGTATAATTGATTATCTTTAATTTTTTATTAATCAATTAAAATCAATTTTCATCAGTAGTTGATAATTTTTTTCGATTTAGACCAAGCAATACTGATTTTAATCCACGGTAATCAATCAGGTTTTCGAATCGATTATAATCACTGGGATAAGAATTGTCTAAAAGTCAAGTCATATTGATTATAATCCACCGGAATCGATTATAATTATTAGGACTTATATTTAATTGACCAATAAAATAATTGAAATGAGCAATAAAGAAATTCAGCAATAAATTTACTGAATGGGCAATAATTATATTGGATGAGCAATAATTATATTGGATCAGCAATAATTATATTGAATAAGCGATAACTATATTGAATGAGCAAAAAATATATTGAATCAGCAATAATTTACTTAAATTAAAGGTAAATTTTATATAAAAAGGGGCACTATGGATTCATTTTGTTATGTTACATTCCGAAGATGTGCTATAGGACAGAGTCGTGTTATACTATACATTATATTTTCAGTCTCTTTCTTTCTCTACATATGTATATCTACACCTTTCATTCTCTTTCTCTTTTGTCAGGTTAGCTGTAAATAATATAAAATTGCTCAATAAAGTTTTTTTTTATTGTTCACAAATTCTTGCTAAATCGTATGTTAATTATTGCTCATCCCAATATTTTTATTGCTCAAATAAATACTAGCCAATTATTAGTGAGGTGGATCATTTAGCTTAACTTACTAAACATCTAACTCATTTAAAATTAGGTTTAAGTGATTGGTTGACGCAAAATTCACTCAAGTTCGAGCCTTTCATTACTCATAAAGGGACATGCGATGCTTTTGTTCAACTATACAAAAGAGGATTCCTGATAACCTCTGATCGGTGCCGAACAGCAATAGGTTTTATCCCTACAACAGATGGAAAGATTGCTACTGACATGTGATTGGTTGATGCCTCTTTTCTATCGACCCATCAGATTCGAGGAAGCTACCTTCTCCACTATTGAAAGGACAAAACCTGATTTTGTTAGGAGCCGATCAGAAGTTATCATGGATCCTCTTTAATATGGCTCAAACAATAGCACTGTGCGTCCATTTAGGAGTAATGAATTACTTGAAATTAAATGCTATTGATTTACCGCAATCACTTAAACTTGATATTAAGTATTAAGTTTGTTATTAACATTTAATTTTTAAAATAACGTTTTCAGAAGAAAATCTTAAACTCATATTAAGTGTGAGATAGTAAAACTTAAATTAATTTCAAGTAAACGATCCATATCTAGTCATCAGAGTACAGGGCTGACCAAGAAACATTCCAAGGTGCTAAAAAAGTTTTGAGATTAAAATTTGTCCACCGACAGGGCACATATACACTAGACAAGACCTAAAAGCATGTGGGCGCAAGTTTCAATTTGGTTGAGATATCGACGCTGTTGTATAATTTTTTCGTCGGAATCCTGCTTTTCCATTAAAATCAAAGTTTCCGATTTTCACCGGAAATTTTGGCCACATCAAGACCTTCATTAGATTAGCTTGCCTACAAAATTTTATAGTTTTGGGCAACTTTTCCTCCGGATTCTAGGCTGTTATCATGAAGACGCTTGAGGGTGTGGGTGTCAGTGAATGACAGAACTACCACCGATATCCAGATTCCACATCCACACCAGTGCTGTCACCTTTTGAAGTTCGAAAAGCAGAAAATAACAGCAGTTTTATCAGCGAAAAGCAGAAAGACAGCAGAAAGTATGTTTATGAGATGAAACTAACGGATAGCTTGTAATAAAAGAGAGTCTCAGTACTTTGTTAACATCTTAAGTGTTATCTTATTGCTCACGCTTTATTTTTTTATCAAAAGATTCATCATCTGCTTCTGCACAAATTGCGTATTTCGTTGTAAAAGTACTTATTTCTTGCTCTTTCGACATCACCACGATTTAAAAACAGCACTATACACAACTTTCAAAATCCCTATTTTTTCCAATTTTTTCCGAAAACATCCAGTCCTTAGATTAGTCTTATTATCATTGGTCGTGCCATATTCTTTATCCAGAAATAAAATAAATTGCCTTTGATATGTTGATTGAAATGAACCAATTTATCTCTTGAGTAGCGAACAAATTATACCCAAACTAACAGGATTAATTGAGAAACTGGACATTTTGGAAAAAAATTGAAAAAAATGAAGACTTTGAAAGTTGTATGTAATGCTTATCTTAACTCATGATGATGTTGAAAGAGAGATAAGTGATTTTTACAGTGAAATATACCAATTTCTGCAGAATTAGACGGTGAATCTTTCGATAAAAAAATAAAGCGTGAGCGATAAGATAACGCTTAAGATGTTAACAAAATACTGAGATCCTCTTTTATTACGAGCTACCCGTTAGTTTTAAATTTTAGTTCCAGTATACTAATCACTCGCATTGTATGGCATCACAAAACACAACTAATTAATAAACAGGCAGAATCATTCAACAGGTTTTCTTTTTAAAGAGTATTCTTCATCTCATTTAAGAGCTTTTGATAAATCTTTTTTACCTAATAACTATTTATTTAATTACAATATATGATAAGAAGAAATCCAAAATAATTATTGATTAAATCATAGCATTTAAAATTTTTTTTATTTCTTATTCTTCATAGAATTATCAATATTAGCTTTTTATTAGCAATGTTCGGGAAACTGTTGATGACAAACGATAAATGTTAGTTGAGACGGATCAAATTTATATTCTTTTAAAGATCATTAATATTCGACGGCTTTCAACCATTCTCTGTTGAAGATAACTCTATTCAATTTCTGTTTTCTGGTTTAACTCCTAATGACATAATTATTAAGTCAGCAACTACCACTGCTTTGTGAATACCTTCTTCGCTAGTCAAGCTGTCATTATCATCTAGAGCTGGTTTTTTCTGTTCCTTTCCTCTCACTAATCATATTAATTATTCATGCTTATTGAGTAAACAAACGAAAGGATGTATATGTCGATGTATATGAATAACATGAGTAACTAAAATACGAACGAAAACCATAGGTAAAGAGTTGATTTAAAGACAAATATATAGGTTGGTAGTTGTTTGTAGTCAATAGAAAGTAAAAATCACCTATATCAAATAGAAAGAATTAGAATGGCACAAAAATATCAGTAGTTTTTAATACAATTTTTTTAATAATTATGGAAACAAAGGTATCTCAGGTGAAAAATGTTGATTGAAATAATAAATAACCCCGTATCAAAAAAAGCAGAAACGACAGAAAAAAACTTCAAAAAGCAGAAGAGGTGGCAGCTCTGACCCACACCCATACCCTCTACTAGAGAGATACTTTCGTCACCTATTGAGCGACATCCTTTTTGTTTTGCCATATAAGGCAGGTGACCTATATATTATTGCCGGATAAGAATAGCCAAGTAGAACGAATGCTCTTATCTATATCGATGTAAGAACGAGAAAAAGTATTAACTGGTAGGCAGATTTGACCGATATCAAGACATGTTAGATATAAACTATTTACAGTAGGAAAAGGTAAGAGTTAAAATGATACCGTTTCAATTTTGGATCTTAAATGCAGCTCATTCACGATGAAACAATTAGTAGGCATCTGTACCTGTGTATTCGTAAGAAAATGGGTCGAATTTTATAATCTGAGCAACAAAATATAGAGCTTCCATAAATTTAGAACAGTAGGGCATCCAGTTTTTTAGAGTATCTCTACTTTCATTCGAAAGACATGACAGGCTTTGAAATTGAATATAAATCAATTCTAAACTGTTATGAATGATATGTAAATTTTTCTTCACTCAGAATAGTATCATCATGACATTTGGCTTAAATAACATTATTGGTATTCATCGTCTTCATACCGGTTGCAAGGACTATTCAGTACTGAAAGCGTATATACATTGGTCTTACTGGCAACGCAAAGCATTCGACTATATTATCTGGTGTCATTTAGCTCACGCGCTCGAATTCAGTGTTGCTGTCATCTGTTGGCTATGGCTCTTTCCACAAACGTTCTCGGACGCCAATGAGTGGCGATGCCAATGGGTATCTCGTGTTGTTCTCTTTAATTTAACTTGTGAATTTGTATTCTATTCCTTCTGGCATTGGATAACTCATGCACGCACGAGTGTCTATGCGCAAGGACCATTACATGAAAAGAAGTTTAATCCCAGCAACGCTTATGAAGACAAACAACATAATCATTTACAGCGAGAAATTTTCTTTAACACACTGGGTTGGTTACAATCATCGGCAATTCAATGTATCTTCATGTGGTTATGGGCCAGCGGCCGATTACCGTACTATAGTGACTTTTGGTCTCGACCAGTGTTTTCAATGACCATTCTACTTGGTATTACTTATTGGCAAGAATTTCATTTCTATTGGGTTCGTAAGTGTGTATCTTTAAACCATGTGAAAAGGTATATTTCTAGATCCATCGGTTTATGCATCCGTGGTGGTCTATCCAAAATGGTTTGCGCGACGGCGATATTGGCGCGTTTTTATATCGTCATGTACATAGTCTGCATCATTTAAGTCGTAATCCTGGTCCATGGGCTGGCTTATCAATGCATCCACTTGAACATTTCATTTACTATTCATGTACTTATTTTCCCCTTCTCTTCACTTGTCATCCGCTTCACTTTCTCTATGCTAAATTTCATGCTGACATTTCCCCGATCGGTGGCCACGATGGGCACGCAGATCCCGCCGGTGATTCAGCCTTTCATTATCTGCACCATGCAACATTTGAATGTAACTATGGAAATGAACTGATCGATTTCGACAGTCTGTTTGGTACATACCGTGAATTTGTCAGAAAACCAACCAGAGCGAAGTTCGACCAAGAGAAAACACATGACAATTGACGGTAATCCAGCGCACAAGTTCTTTTTAAAGACACGATAACGTTTTTTTCAATTGAACCAAAACTTGTGTTTTTTGTTTATACACAACTAAAAGCTTCTCATTCAGAAATTTCATTTGAAGACATCAAATGAGGATCGGCATTGCGATCGTGTTTTCACTATCTTACAGCAGTCATTGCACAATAAAATTTTATTTTCTCATCAACCTCAAAAGATTTAGCCGAAATATTTTTTGTCACAAATATTTGGGATTCAGGCCTATTGATTGATAACATTAAAAAGAATTCATCTCGAGACCAGTGTGCACAGCAGGCAGACTATGTTTCACCGTAGACTCTAAACTTATAACATGAAATTCTCTCATTCAGCCGAGTCAAGTTACTCGAGAGTGGTCTCGTTTGAAAGAGCATCTGAAAATCTACGGGAAACATTTCTCAAAAGTTCCGGATCTTGAATTTTGGCACGCAAAATTTTCTATTAAGAAGTTTTTAAGAAAAAATCTATCAATTTTGCCATAGATTAGCACTCAGTATATTGTAGGTTTCGATATAGTATACACTGTTGGAAAGCTGGACTAGAACCCAAAGTTTTAAATCTTCTTGATTTTCTAGTCGCAAGATATAAGATGATCTTTGACATGTCTCTAAGATAACTTTCCTTCAAATGGAAAAACTTACTGGGATCATCGCCAAGACCAGCTCATACCTTTTGATGAGAAGATCAAGAAGATCTAAAACTTTGTGTTCTAGCCCTCCTTTTTATGGGCTTTTCAACAGTGTATACTATATCGAAACCTACCATATACTAAGTGCTAATCTATGGCAAAATTAGTCGATTTTTCCTCAAAAACTTCTTAATAGAAAATTTCGTGTGCCAAAATTCAAGATCCCAAACTTTTGAAAAATGTTTTCGGTAGATTTTGAGATGCTCTTTCAAATAAGACAACCCTCGAGTAAATCGACTTAGCTGAACGAAAGAATTTCATGTTACAAGTTTAAGATTTGCAGTAAAACATAGTCTGGCTGCTGTGCACGTTGGTCTCGGGATGAGTTCATAATGTTATGACTGAATAGGCCTGGCTTTCAAGTATTTGTGATAAGAATATCTCGGCTAAATCTCTTTTGAGGTTGATGAGAAAATAAAATTTTATTGCGCAGTGACTGAAATGAGGCAGTGATAAAACGACCGCAATGCCTACCTTTGTAATATCAATATCTCTTGAACGAAGGTGTGAGGTGTGAGTGGATGTTAGTGTGAATGTGAGCTCTCAGTCCACTAACATCCACACCCGCATCTACACGCTTAAGCATTCCGACAAAAAATTCTTTTCAAAATACCTTAAGTGGTGGAAAACGGAAAATCCCTAAAATATGTTCTTTGTTGGCAGAATTTCGACAAATTATTTTTAATAGTTTAGTGCACTAAAAAAAGGCAAAAATAGAATCTAAGACCATATTCGAATTTCATGTGACATGACGCATCGAATCATGCTAAATTTGACTTCAATTTTGACAAAAATCCGTTCCACCAGTTCAGGTATTCGCGGACATAATATAGCACTATATTGAAAAGCAGATGAGCGGTGAAGGAGACATACTAGAGTCAATTTTGCCGAAACTGCAATGAAGTTTAGTATGACTTGATGCACCATCTTATGAGAAATCTGAATATGTTTTTGGACTTTTTTTTTGACTTTGTTTTAATGAAGTAAAATGTTGAAACCTATTCACCGAAATTATGTGAAAAAAAAACGTTTTTTTGAGATTTTTTGGTTTTTCACTGCTTGAAGTATTTTGAGTTAATCTCCATGAAAATAAAAGCGTTTCAAACACTTTCCTTATCAAAACACTTAGAATTAAAAGCTCTACAAACATTGAAATTTTCATCAAATTTGCAACGTGGTTGACGCCATGAAACTACTAGAGTGTGGAGTGGGCGTGGGTGTGAGTGTCGGTATCAAGAAGAACTACTCACGTCCACACCCACACCTACATTCCCACCCCACACCCACACCCACACACCCATACTCACGCCCACCCACCACACTCTCTTTTGATTTAGCATGTTTCGTAAGTCATCATTAATTTTTCTCAGGGGTGGCGCGAGTCAACCAACATTGGGGGGGGTGTAGCGAAATTTTTTGGACTAGAAAGACGAAGTCTGCAATTTTTCGGGGGGTGTAACATTGTTTTTGGTGACAAATGGAAGAAAATTTCCTGATTTTGTTGAGCAAAAAAACAGAAATTTTTGAAGATTGGGGGGGTGTCGCACCCCCGACTACCCCCCGGTCGCGCCACCCCTGATTTTTCTCTATTGATAAAATGTTAAAGACTATAAGGTAAAGGTCAGTTATTATTTGCATTTTGACAACCGAAGTAAGCATACGCATAATTAATAATACTTGACCAATGTTAGGATACATGACAGTAATCAGTTGTATTTGCTCTCCAAACACGACTAGAAAATATACTTACAATGATTTACTTCTGTTTTAAATTGTGATTAAATTCTATATGTATTAGTAATACATGCTTTTGAAAGTAAAATCGATCATCTTTCTATTTCTGTTTTCATTGAAACAAGACAAATCGTATTTTAGTGTATTATTGACAATATTGATAAAACTGTTTTAATTGATAAAATATAGGTAGAATCTAATATTCAATAAAATAGAAATGCCTATGTAGAAAAATAATCAAAATCATTAAAATATGTAGGTTAACAATATATATCTTTGAACATTTAAAATCTAATATTTCAATAAATCACTGATAATTAGATATGCGAAATATTCATGATTATTTATTAGAGAATGTCAAATTTGATTTGATACTTGTACACACATTCAATAATTTTATGAAACTTTATCTAATACAAATATAATTCTATATTATTTTGACACAGGAGAAAAGTCTATCGTTGTCTCGATTTTGAATTTTCAGTTGAAACAAGTGTAATGTACTATATCATTTTCTCAATAAAAATGATTTAATCGACTTATATTTTTGTTTCTCTACCATTAGATGTTTAAAAGAATCTAATCAGGAGCTAATCATCAATACAAAAAAAATTTCATTCAATGTCAACGTATTATTGGATACGCTTCAACAATTTCTACACCAATTGATGTCAACAATACGAATATTTTGAATAGAAAGAGAGAAAGAAGAAAAGAAAAAAGAAAATATTATCTGTTTCTTCTTACAATATCGTCGTCATTCATTCGAGTAAACGTCTATAAGCTGAATACACAAATCAAGTAATGAATATGTACACATAAATAAACATCGAACACATCGTCTTTATTTTTTCTTTTCTCTTTGCCTATTTAGAAGGACATTATCAAAAATTTAAGTGAAAAATGGCATCAGGACAAGGTCATGGTAATATGTCGTTCGGCATGAAAGTTATTCGATTTATTATTATTGTATTGAATCTGGCATTTATTGTTGTTGGTATCGCATTACTTGCAATTGATATTTATGTTATTAGAGATCCTAAAATTCAACAATTACATCCATTACTTAATCCAGATTCAGCAACAAATCAATCTCGAAGTCTTTCAAATGTTGCCATATTTGCTATTACATTAATGGTTATTGGTGGTATTTTAATAATAATTGGATTTCTTGGTAAAAATAAACTAAATAAATTTTGAATTTTTTGATTATTTTTGAGTTTTTTTCTAGGTTGTTGTGGGGCAATTAAAGGCTTTCGATTTTTATATGTTCTTTATGCAATAATTATTGGTGCAATAATTATTGCCGAAATCATCATTCTTACTATTTGTATAATTTATTATAATCGTTTTAAAACAGAACTTCTTTCTAAACTTCAAGAATCAATTGCTAAATATTATGTTGGTACACCAATTAATAATTCAACATTTGTTAATTCAATTTCATTTTCATGGGATTTTGTTCAATTTAATTTACAATGTTGTGGTGCGGCTAATAAAACTGATTATTTGAATACAACTAATTGGAATCGAACAAATCCATATCAACTAGATACAACTTTAATTGTTCCCTTTACTTGTTGTCCTTTAAATGCAACGAAAAGTTGGAATGACTTACCGACAAATATGTCGGAAGCTAGTGCATGTGCAATAACAGGTGTTAATGCTTATTTCGAAGGATGTTATGATCGTTTAGGTGATTTATTAGCTGCATATAAGAAGTATATTATTATCGGTGGTGTTATTGTAGGTGTTGTTGAAATATTTGCTTTTATATTTGCTATTTTATTATCTTGTCATAAATCCGATTATTATACTTTGCAAACGTAAACTTAATTTGAATAAGAAACTTTTTTTTGGTTCGCAGTGCTTTATATAATACTAATAAAAAGAAAATTAATTATTTTATCTGATTTTCTTTCTGCACCAAATAAGTATTGTAGTAACATATCTGAACTTTAATTGATTAATTCTAGGTCAAAATAAAGATGATTACAGTAAAATTCATTGGAGTTTTATATTTAAGAAAAGATGAAGTTATGTGACTTTGTGGGGTGTGGGATGTGGGTGTGGGTGTGGGTGTGGGGATGTGAGGTGGGTGTGATCAACAGAAGGACACCCACACCTACCGCCACTACTTTTGGTATGCCCTAAATATTAAATTTTTCGCAGAAAAATGCTGAGCAACACTCGGAATAGATAACTAAGAAAACAAAAACAAAAGGGTTTTTTTCTTCTATTGCTTCTGTAAAACCTTCAGCAACTAGTGGATGAGTAGAATACAAAAAGAAGTAAACTACCTTTCTCTGTTTCTCTGCTAGAAGAACAGTTAGAGTATTGATCCAATTAAACGAAGAGCAGCAAAGCGAAGTAACTCCCATTTTTCCGCAAAAGTTTACGATCGCTACGAACATAAATAAATGATAAAAGAGAAAAGTCAAATTCGACCAACCGATTCAAGTTGCGCATACGGCGACGCACAACTTTCAGAATGAATAATTTAAACCAACAGAGAAAACAAATAATTTGACGACTGAATTCCTCAAAAATAAAATTGCTAGAAGTATCATGAGGGTGGATATGGGTGTATATGTGCGCGTGAGAGTAGGGTGTAAGATGTGAAGGAAAGAAGAGCATCACTTACACCACATCCCATCCATACCCACACCCTGAAGAACTTTTTTTCTCTTATAAGTTGATTGTTAGATTATATTAAAGATTGAAATGAAATATGAGTCATTTCTGATCAGATTTGTTAATTGGAATAATAATCGTGAAAAAAGAAAAGAAATGATATAGAGAATATTTTGATTAATTTCCTTTATAGATGTTAATCTACAAGGAACGATATCATAAGTTAATTCTTTTGTAAAGAAATATCTAAAACTCTTTTAATCCCATCATGTTCACCACCAGCGAATCCATATAAAATAGATGGACGAATAAGAACAGCTCGTGTATCTAATGCTAATGCTTTTAATATATCTGTTCCACTTCGAATACCAATATTAACAGATACTAAACAAATGCTGTTTCCGTTCTAGGATTCTTGACAGAAATCTTACTAGATTCTCCTTGGAAATATTATCGAATTTTTTGACAGAATCTTTACAGAATTTTCAAAACAGAACATGGGGAAATGAATAGACAGAGTATTAATCTCTAGACCTTCAGTTTACAAATCGATCAGCTTACTCAACTGGACTGTGTCATGTTGTTATATTGAACTTCAATGGGCGAGATTCTAAATTGCAACTGAAATGTTAACATCTATTGAAATTTTATAAGAAAATACAATTATCTCAAGAAAAATTTGGAAGAACAATAAAATATTTCATGTTAAATATTCGTTTCAGTTGACAAAACTCTACTCTATCGTGTTTAACTTTAATTTGATTCAAAAGATAACATGACAAACTCTAAATTGATATGAATTTTAACTTCAATATATCAAAAATTTGGAAATTTTTACAAACTTTAAGAAGAGTTCGTACAAATTGATGTATTCATAAATTGAAACAAACAATTTCTTAGATATCATTCAACTAAAAAACGAGGAAGAAATTAGAAAATGAAAACTTCCTGTTGATTCTGTGTAAATTGAGCATAAATCAGAGATTTTATCCATAATATATCTTTGGACCATTGTCAGAAAAGGAAAAATCCGAAATAAATGATATGAGTAAATCTCAGATTTGTGCTTTTCTAATGGTTGCCATAGAGTTCTTCAAAAAGTCAAAAATCAAAGATTCAATGAAAATTATGAATAATTTTAAATCTGTCATGATCTCTTCTGCTTATTGGCGTAGTAATATCTTATGTTGAAATTTTCGCATGAACTAATCAAAATAATGTGCCAGAAGTATGCCGCTAAAAAAACCTCGCTTCTTAAACTGTGAGTGATTGAAAATGTCAATTACTCTCTTTTCAATTCTATCTCCGTTTTTCAACAACTAAATGTACAAACGTGTATATTAAACACGTATAAAATTATATTCTTTTTTCATTGTCTTCAATATAATATTGATGTAGTTTATCCAACAATAGTCTAATGCAAATGGTTTCACTTGCATTGCTTTATTTCCAATGGGCACTATATAAATAAGTTTCAAACAGTGTTACTCATACTTTTCAATGTCCATGCATAGGATGTAGTTGTGAGTGTGGGTGTGACTGTTTTGATGTTTCATACCCACACTCTCGTTCTGGTCATTGTTTGCCAGCCTAATCTCAGCCATATCCAACTATGACGATGAAAGAACAAGGGAGCACGTGGTACTTGCTGAATAAAAGAGCGAAAGAAGAATGTGTCGTTTTTTTGTCTGTCGTTGCATGCGAAAGTAAAGGTGACTTTATACAAAGAGAAAGAAACCAGATATAATAATATCTGCCTAAACATAAACATTCACCTTCTCACTCGTTCGCCATGAGTCACGAAGTGCTCGACAAGCTTTTGGCTCACACATACGCCAACTATCAAGTTCTCCATAATCATTTGCGCTTTCATATACACAATGCTCACCATTTGGGTTCACTATACTTGTTAGGTGCCAGCGATGAAAAACTCGAACAAGTCTACAAGTTAAGGTGCGAGCGACTCGATCCCCACGTACCGTCACCACATGCTATCACTCAAGACAATTGGCGTGAATCACTTGGCGATAGACGATTCTGTAAAAGTTATCGAGATTTTTTCGATGCTCAACTACCAACAAACTCGAATGGTGCTTGGAAGCAGAGATGTTTGGAGTTGTTGCTCGAGAACAAAGCTGAACCGATGATTAACGGTGTCGTTGGTGGTGTAGCACATCCTCTAATCCATCTGGGCTATGCATTTGAATTGAACAGTCGTATTGTGGCTTGTGAAGCATTGACGCTGAGTGCGGTTTGCTACAATTATCTACATGAAGTGATCGACAAGTTGGAAAAACCATCTACTGAATCAGCCTCAAGAACGGCTCTAGAGGTCATGAAAGAAATTGCCGCCGATGATCGACTGCCGACCTACGAATGTCCTGCCATTAATAATCTTGAGCTGACAGTAAAATCATCGACCGATCTTATTCTTTCGCATTACAACTTTTGGCAAATGAATGATCGTTCCCTCGATCAGATCATCGAAGAATTGTTCGACATGAGTGTCTACTTGTACGCTGCTACACACAAGAACGATCGAATCGAGTTCGATTTCTTTCTTCTCCATTTGCTTACCGCAATGCATGCAATTCGCATACTTCATACACATTTGGATGAGCAAGTAATAGAACATCTTGTTTTCCAATTCTTCTATTTTGCCTGTACTGTTTATATTACTAAACTGCGACCTGAAATTAATGAAGAACTCATTATCAACTATGGAATTAGCAAAGACAAGGATTGGAACTATGTGATAGACAAAACATTGAACACAAAGCTAGCCGAAGATCCTCATCTCGTCAAAGTTGTACGTGCTTTGAGAGATGGCGAAGTAGCTTACGGATACAAAGACGGATTATATTTAAAAGCAGCGGTGAAAACTGTGGACCATGTACCAATCGACGAACCATGGGTCGGCCGATCTAATAGCACTCGATAGTTGAATACCTAGCATTAGTCAGTTCTATGATTTACAAACTTTCGATATTGTACTATTTTAATTCTACTATTAAATTTCTTTATCAATTCAAATAAATTAATGATTTTCGTTAAGAGATGAATATAATTTTTGTTGATGTCGATTTCACCATTGGGGCAATCGAGTTTTATTGAAAGATGTTCTTGAAATTTGAAGTGAACTCTAGTATTAAAACCAAAGTCAGATTTTCAAGATGTATGAGGGTGTGGGTGTGGGTGTTAGTGCCTATGTTGTCTGGATCGAGTGCTACACTCACACCCGCAATGATATCTATATGCTTGAGATTGTGACGAAGAATTTGATGTGATATTAGGAATCGATTCTATAACTGCTCGTTTAAAAATATATTCTTGCTTAATAATAGCTACTTATTGACGTTTACATCCTATAATTTCAGTTTTTTGATTAAAATTAATTGACTTAACAAAAAACAAAAGTAAAAGACAATGATATACGGATCGATTATGATTTTCAATATCAACATATATGTGTGACATTTACTATTGATTATCTAATAAACTGGAATGACAATCTAATAGCAGTCTTTTCTATTTCATTTCCTTCTTAAAACATTTTACTTCGAGTGCAAGAATAATAATAATAATAAATGAAAAATATAAAGAAAACTACTTGATATGATATCGAAAGGAGAAAATGAAAATAGAAATTGTATTAGTCCATTTGTTGTTAACCAATGAAGCTGACGAATAAGAACGATAAGATCATCTCAGAGCATGAATTGTTGACAGAGAGAAAAATAACTACATTGTGCTATTGTTTATGAAGCTATTCAATAAGAATGATACACAGCATTCAATCGTATGATATTAAAACAAAATATGATAACACAATTGGATGATCTCTCTGTTAAATTATTCTACGAGATATTTATTTATTTCCAATTCCATGAAATATTCAATATTTTTTCCAATCTCAATTTTCGTTTTACTGCTATTGTTAGCAATATACCATTTATTCGCGCTAACTTGAGTTCGAATGGGATGAATATCGCTGTCATTGAATTTTATAATGTACATTTATCACAACCAAACGTATGTGATTGTCTTATTTCATTGTGTGTCTCACATACATTAGCTATTGATAATGATTTATGATTAGCATCTAACTTATCTGAATTTTTTCAATCTTCATCATTTATCTTTAATCGATATTAAACGTTCTTGTTTTAAATTAATGCTCAATACATCTTCATCAAACACATCTCTCGTCATATTTAGCGTACACTATACAGAATACAAGTAAGTTTCCGTTGTTGAAATCAAAATAATCTATATTATGTACGTATATAAATTCATGCAATCATATTAGTATAATAAACAATAGTTAAAAGTAATTATCATTTCTAAATTGATAATATTCTTTTTCAACAATATCTATTGACTTTGAAGTATTTAATTGTAAGATGATAATTTGAAAAAGCTTAGAGTTATTTCAATAATTTTTTAATGAACTCAATGAATATAAGAAGATAGAAGTAAATAGTAGTGTTTATTTTCGATGAGACCAACATATAGATTACTATGTTATTCACTAGTAAACGATAACCAACTCATATCTAACTACAATATAAGTATGATTTAATCGGTCTGTTTTTTGAAAGGAAAATCCTTCTCATTTGTTTTTCTTGTCTAGAAATTATAGAACACAAAACTTTAAAATTACTGTGAAATAAAAATCAATGAAATCTTGAAGAAATACTATAACATACTGTAAAATAAGTTATAATATGGAACCATTCTCTTTTGATAAAAGCCATTCATCAATTATTGTCAAAATTTAATCTTACAAAATGAACTTAAAATTCAAATACTGTTAGTTAGTTTCGACATCAAAAAATTGTTTTTTAAACTGTAACCATTGAATTTTAATACGGGTTTACATGAGAAAAAAGAAATGGTTTTTCTTCTCATGCAATACATTATCCTCTATTATAGCAAATCTCTAATATTCACATTTGTGGGTATTTGATAATTAATAGTTAAATATATATAGATTGTCTATGAAAATGTGCTCATTATGTTGGTTAATTATTTGTTAATATTCCATTAATAAATTTCTTTTAGATTTTATATATAGCTTTTCTTATCAATAATATATTCGGTTAAATACTAGTAAAAGGAAGAACATCTTCGAAATAAGTGTCAATAGACATAATTAGACGATGGAAAAAGCTGAGTAGAATAAAAAGTTCATTATTTTATGATTATGATATAATACATGATGAAATGATAGAAAATTGTTATGCAGAAAGTTTTCTTTAAAAAATTTTCACCGTTTCTAAATTATTAAGAGAAGTATTTTTAATAAAAAAATACAAACTATTATGTATAAATAGGACATTGGTACTATATGGTATGGTGTAAGTGAACAATGGAAAAGAGTATTTTTTTTTCAATAAAATGTGAAATAATATATCATGTATTTATGATTATTTTTTATTAATCTATTTCAGTCAAGTTTCTCGTATTGATAAACGTTTGGTTCCTAATCTATGTCGTCTTAAAATAACATTAAAATATGATAGTAATGCTATAGAACTACTTGATCAATTATTTGATCATGATGTTTTATTTTCATTGACAAAATTCACATTAGAAGGGATGGTGACTGGACCTAATTTTATTTCCAAGTTTTTATTAATACTTTGTCATCAGTGTTCATATACATTCATTGTTAGATGAGTTGTGAAAACTACGATATCATTATCGAACACGAGTAGTATTTTGTTAAATATATTGCAACAATTTAAAGGGCGAATACCAATCGAATTAGAATTATGTTTATATAATGATGGTTATTCTTTTAAAGCTTTCACGTTATCACGAAAGAACAAATCTTTATGTGCTTATAACTATTTAAACAAAAACTTTGTTTACGTGTATGTATAAATTTCATTTACTTATAAAAAATGATTTTTCTAAATTATTTAGACAAAGTCATTGGTCATGTACTTTATCAACAGCTTTAAACAATCGTTTGACATGTATCAATAAAATAACATTGGATGGTAGATGTTCTTAAACCAATGAAGAATTTCTCTCTTACTTACTAACTATTTTTTCTTGCCGTCAAATTACTTCGCTTACAATTGATGATGCATTCGATTTATGCCAACTACGTTTGCTCTTATCAAAAATGATTCATTTACATACTCTCTCTAGAGCTTTTTTTTATCACTTCGATTATGATTTAGATGATGAAAGAAACAAGCAAAGTTTAATCAAACTTTTCAGTGATACTTCTTTATGCAATATACTCATGTCAAATGGATTAAAAAAACTACAATTTTATACAGATTGTAACTATCCAGATATGATAAGTATTGCTTCTTTAATTGTGAAACGATTGCTACATCAGAAAATCATAGAGTTAAACTGTCATAATAGTAGTCAAGTTCCTGAAACATTACATATATTAATTAATGGTCTTCCAAAATTGAATTTTATCATTTTTCATGTTTGTTTGATTGGTGAAAATGAGCAGGAATGAAAAATGCGTGATCCTCCGAATCGTTGTAAACGTACATATCGAATGGAGTATCTTCGATTACTTACTGATGCCAGAATACTTCATGTATGGCTTCAATAATATCAAACTATTAGATTTCTCTATTTGCTGATAGGTATATGTTTCGTTGTAAGACTATAATAGATTTAAAATTGAAAAGTTTAATTTAAAAAAATGTACGAAAGGTGGAAATATTAACATTTGTTCAATACTACTTAGGGCAGTCCAAAAGTAGTGAGAATGACACTTTAATATAAAATAGTAAGTTTGAGAAATCTTTCTTTCGATAGTCTGATAGAGAAAAGAATGCTCTATTTTTTTATGCCATTTGATCATACTTCAACTAATATCATAATAATAAAATTCCAATAAGATCTTTTTTTCTATCATATAGGATATTTATACTATGTGTTTTGAATAACTTTTGAGAGAAACAAGATAGAGAGCTGCGGATTTCACAGTTGAAAAGCGGAGATGAAAATACATCGAATTGCGTATTATATGTTTTCCTAGACGTTATCTGCCGTTTCTTCAATCAATTGTCTAAGTATTGCAAAAAATGATTTTTTATTTCTTTACAGAAATTGCTAGACGAATCACTTAGAGCTTCGATTAGAACATTTATAACTTCGGAATGATTAATTCTAAATATTTGAATATTCTGGAGCTTTCTAGACCATCCATTGACGGTCTGAATGCACACCTGACAAGTGAGAATTTGCTGTAACACATTACAGAGTAGGTTTGTTTTCAAGGAGGTCGATTGAAAATCTTACAAAAAGCCATGTCAACAAACCTATAATATACGATTCGATGCAGCTTCAATTCCTCTTTCGAACGATGAAAACCGTACGTCTCTACATTGTTTGCATCAGAAGTTATTCAAGAAATATTCATCAAATAGACATTTGTATAACTGTCTCATACGATAGAAAAATAGGTCTTATCGAAATTTTATTATTATGATATTAGTTAAAGTATGATCGAAGAGCATAAAAAATAGAACATTCTTTTCTCTATCAGACTCTATGGAAAGAAAGGTTTCTCAAACTGACTATGTGATATTAAAGTGTCACTCTCACTACTTTTGGACTGCCCTAAATATATTTGATATTTGACTTTATTCAAGCAACTTTTTATCTTTTTTCGGCTCAAATTAATAATTGTGCTTTCTGTATTATCCCATTTAGCATCATGTAAAATAATAAGGGTATGAGTGTGAGTGTGATGTGGGTGTGGATGTGGGTGACAGTCTTGTTTAAACTCATGCCCACACTCACCACACCCACAAACACACTCGCACACCATACCCTCTCTGCACCCACACCCCACATCCAATTTATACTCCATGTTTTCAGAAGTTACACTAAACATAAATTCATGATGGTCAATAATTGTTTTGTTGAAAAGAAAATTGGTTTGAATTTTCAGTGGATCAATCAATACAGCTTTTGGTGATGTTTTCAGATCGACACATATAATAATAGTGATTCGATCGCTGAAGAATTAAAGCACCAATACCTGTTTTGCCAATGATCACCTTGTGTTGCCATGAAATAGGATAGGCCATTAAACGTAGCTGTGCACTTTCTCTTTTTCTTAGCAAACATTTGCTTGTTTTGCATTCAGCTCTTGTGGATGTAAAACATGTGTATAAAAATCATCAAGATGACAGAGAAAAAGAAGAAAAAATCTTTAAAAAAATGCCCACACACATACAACACAAAGAAAAAATGGTGATTAGAGCTTCGCTCAATTTAATTTTTTCTTCGCCATCATCTCTATCGCTATTCTACTAAACATTGTATAAATTGTAAATTACTAATTTATTTCTGAATGATATCACATTAACAAACAACAAGTAGAGAGACTAATGTAGTTAGTATTCTTGCACAAAATTGTCCGGAATGCACGGGCATTTTCTAAAAATACTCTTAGCTTGTCCTAATCTTCATAATAAATTTTATTTGCTATCTTTATTGATGCGCAGCATCGTAACGTTCCAACTTAGCAAATAGCCCGTCATTTTAGGGTGTGGGTGTTGATCTCCTCCTAACGCATACTTACACCCACACCCATACTATAATGAGATATGAATAAGTTTGTTAAGCGAAAGCTGTTTTTTTCTTGTTTTGTTTAGAAGTCCGTGAACGTGAATCATTGTTGACAAGTGTATGAGTAATGTATACTTTTGCCATGACTCTTATCAAATGCGTCTTGCTCAAGCACACAGCAATTTTTTATTTGATACTTTTCGTCTGCTTCTACCATTAGATTGAAAATTATTTTGTTGTTGATTATTAAATTCCATATGTCTAACGTTACAACATTCAATCATTTACCAAATGAATTAATTATTTGTATTTTTTCTTATTTGGATGCCACAGAAACTTTTCAAGCATTTTTTGACTGCAACCATCGCTGTCGAAAATTAGTAAAACATTATGTAAATTATAATCGCCACGCACTTGACAAGGATATTGAACGATTTTCAACTCTACATAGTTGGTATAAACATTTAGGTTTTGTCGATTCTGGTACGATATTTTATATGGCACCATTAAAGGGAGAGCAAGAACGTTACAACTTTAGTCCATGTGTTTCTGATCGTCATGGTATTCATTGGCATTTTTGGCGAGAAAAAACTATGCCACTTGTGGATAAAAGGATAGAACAAATTAGTCAAAAATATCCAATTAAACTCAATCCATTTTTTCATCCTAATGGTGGATGGAATCAATTATATTTGTCACAAGGTCGAGACTTTCTTCGCCAACACTATCCATCACAGTTTGAAGTTTTGGCAACCACCATTTTTCAGGAATCTTATTCTCATTTTTACGAGGCGCTTGAATTTTACACAGATGATGTTGCTCGTCAAATGAAAGTCATCTCCGAAAGTGAACGAAAACGTTTGAGAAAGACTATACACGGAGCGGCGCAGCGCATATGGAAAGAAATACAAGCATTGGATGATGTAAATATATTAGAGATAAAATATACACAAAAGACGGCAGGATTCGTTATGCTAGTGACACTCAATAAATTCGATTGACTTAAATGAAATCTTGATATATTATGATAGACACAAACAATCGGTTCTTCATATTATTTTCATGAAGTAATCATATATATTATAATAAATGAATCTATTCTTATTTAATACTGATGTTTTTTTCTTCCTTATCACATGGTTTGATCAATTTATATTTTTTGAAATGCTTTTTCAAAGTCTTTATGTGCCTCATTCAGAGTTCTATATTTATATATAACCGGATTTATCCGTATAGATGGCGTTTTGATGGTTTATAACGTAAATTATAATAAAGATAAATGTAAATGTGGATTTCTGCATGATTTTGATTGACAGCTACATTTGCATTAGCGCTCGCATCCATACAATTTTTATGATCAACTATATTCGTAACGTTGACAATATTTATTGTGAATAAAAAAGAAATAACGAGTAGAATTACTAACTTTCTTTTAAACTTTGAAAAAAAAAAGTGAATCATGACAACATATTTTTCTTTGATCCATGTGACATAAACTACGTGGAAAGAACAAGAGGAAGTGTGAGATATGTAAAGTCTAGTCAACACTCGTTCTTGAGATAAAATGGACGAATGACAACATTTATTGTCCATTTCAAAATAAAAGAACGGTGAGTATTTTTGGAATAATTTTGGTGAAAACTAGATAGAGATCTGCGGTTTTCACCATTTAAAAGAGGCAATGAAACTACATCGAATTACCAATACCAGATTTTTTTGTTACGCTTTTTCATGGTTCTCTGACAAGTTTTCCAACAACAAATGATTGCGTAATGTAAAACTTTTGAAATTTTATTTTTTAGTAGTGCATCAGGATCATTAACTAAAGCTCAATGATCTCTGTAAGCCCGATGCCAAAATATTTACCTCATATCGTGTTATGAAGATTTTACTAAGTATTTCTGACGTATTTTGAAAGAAAAAATCAATTTTTTTCAGATTTTTTTCTAAAAAAAGTCCATCTTCTAACCATGTTAAAAAGCCTCAATTTTTTAAAAACTTTAGCGGCAGACCCCGAAAAACTTTACCAAAAAAATTCGATATTCGTAATCCGATGTAGCTTGATCGCCTCTTTTAAATGATGAAAACCGCAGGTCTCTATCTAGTTTCCATGAAAAATAATTCCAAAAATACTCACCCTTATTTTATTTTGAAATGGACAATAGTTTTATTTAGATAGTATAAAAGCATATTCAGAAATCCATAAAACTCGCTATTTAGACATTATATGATTCTATATCACATTTGTATACAAGCCTACATCTGTACATAATTCACAGAAATTCTTCATTGCTATATCAATCTAAGTGTTCCTTTTCATGGAAAATATCTGTACAACATTAGGCGCGAGATACAGACGACAAATTAAACAGACAAACCTAAATATACTCATTCTTGCTCTCGATAGAACCTTACAAAAATACATTATCTTAAGGACTATTTTAGATTTTGTTTCTACATAACCCGAAAAACGATAAACGACACCCAAAAGCCATAAAAATAGTTATACGGTACTGTTCAATTGTAAAATGTAATAGTTTTTCTACTAGAAAAATTCATGTCTTTTTATTTTTCATTGCGTTCGCTGGAGGTATCATATGTCTGAGACAGTACATACATACATGCATGTACCCACATATTGATTGTTATTATTATTGATTACAAGTTTTCAAATATATTGAACCATTCAAAGTTCTTTCCAATCAATATATACTTTAGATGACTGACAAATGTATCGTATACTTATGCTTTTTATACTATATTCAATGATTATTAAATGAAATTGAAGTTTATAATTACTATTAGAATGATTATTTATTCTCGGTTAAGATGTATTTGAAATGTTGAACTTAACATCTTGACTAAGACAATACATGAAGAGAAACCACAAAGTTTATTATTTTTTAATATCTGATATAATCGAAGCATTTATTCTTGTGAAATCATCCATTCATTTTCGTATGAGTATTTTATTTTTCTTTATAAAAATGCTCGAAGATAAAGAAAACATGCGAATAGAAACAGATTTTTATCTAGTAAACGAAAAATATGATCGGCCTGATTCAACTTATCAGCTTGTGCGCACTTATTCTTTGTTTTTCTTTAGTCAAAAAGTACATGGAGAAAAGATGAATCATCATACGAACAAAAATTTATTGCTTTACTTTCTTTTACAAAATATGTATGGGATTGTGAAATTACATTTTTTTTCTTTATGACACATTAGTAATTTTGTATTAAGGAGAAAAAAGAAACATTTGTAAGCATACAGTTTATTACTAATTTCTCCTTTTTTTTGTGGAAAACAATCTTTAAAATCATTCCACAAACTTATTAAAAAGTCAAGTTTAATAAGTTTTTTATATTGTTTGCCATTTATATTTTGAGTGCAATGACTTTAACACAGTAAAGGTACCAAAATATTTAGCTATTTATTATGGAGGGTGTGGAACTAAGTGTGAGATGTGGCTGGGTGTGATTATGAGGTGGGGGTGAGTGTGGGTGGAGGTGTGAGAGATAATACCCACATCTACATCCAAAATTTTTGTCCCTTAGTGGCCGAATGCATCCAAATGGATACATTTCTATTTTTTATTATTCGGATTTTTTAAGTAATCTGTCTTAATGATGCAACAGACAATGGATCTATGAAGGAAAATTAACAACTACTTGCTTCGAAGTTTGATTATTTCGAGGCACGAAAAAAAGATTATTTCTATACGGACGCTATTTTGGAGCATTTTTGGGTAGAGCCGGCCATTTTCTTAGTGAGTGTTTTTTTCCTTCTTCTAAACACGTGAATGTCTGTTGAAATGTGTTCACTTATCGAATTGTCAAAACATTTCATATCATCACTACAAATTACTTCTTCGTAAAACATTGGCTTAATGTATCCAAATGGATACATCTGGTTGGAAAGGGTTAAATAGTAAAGGTGACAAATTAAATGTTCAGTATTTTTTTGTAAATGTTCAGTAAAATTTGTTCAGTATTATATTCAAATGTTCATTAAAGAAATTAAACGATCAGTAAAAAATTCAATGTTCAGTTACTATTTCGTTTGTTCAGTTCCCGCCCCCCCCCCCTCCCACAGACCGTGACAGAGAAAATTTATACCCATCATAGACCGTGACAGAGAACCTACAGAGAGACTATCACAGACCCCTACAGAGAAACTGTAGTTTTGATGCATCAAAATAAACGGTAAACTACAAATCTATCGTGAAGAAATGGAACAAAACGATGTTCATTTTATTAGTAACAATAGGTTCATCGTGTTTCACATTTTTAATCCCACAAGAGATTGCGTTAACAGCTTTTTTTATTCTAGTATAGGTGTTCGATCTTTTATCCCTCACTGAATACATCAGAAGCAACCATATCCCTCACGGACCACACCGGAAACACTGTATTCATCACGGAACACACCAGAAACACTCTGTATCCCCCACGGAGTACATCGGAAAGGGTGTAGGTGTGGGGTGTGGGTGAGGGTGTGAGTGGGTGTGGGTATGACAATTCTCTCACCGATACGTCCACACCGAGTCCATTCAATTTATCATTTCTCCGGGAAACGATAGAAAAAAAGGACAACACTTTTCTAACTTGTACAAATGCACACTAAATTGAAACAGAAAGATCACAATATTAGCAGGAAACCTCTTACTCATAACTTGATTTTGGTAAGTATACATCACAACAGTACAGTATTGGTTCTATTCTCACTCCACT